CACCTTTGTATCAAGAGGTTTGGAAAGATTGCAAAGAAATTGAGGCTGATGACTTGATGGAACTGTTGATTCATTTTCATCTTGCTGCTGAAGTTAAAACGGATCAATACTACATTGATAATATTAAGCAATATTTCCTACCTGCTGTGCTAAAGTTATATGATATTTCATCTCCACTATCAATTCCTGATGATCAGCCAGTTGCCCGAGCAACTAACCTTCACATCACTTTTAGCACCAATTTTGTTCCTCCTGGCTTCTTCACTCGTTTTATTGCATCATTTGCCAATGCCTCAGCTAATGCTTCATCATACGAAATTTGCTTCGAAGAAAAATATGGTGTGTTTCGAAACCGTATCATGTTCGGAGACCCAAATATCAAGATTACTATCACTGATCTTAGTGATACGATTCAAGTTAGCGTTGAGTGCTATACTAGCATATCTTTCAGTGATACTTGTCAAGAGTTTAAAAAATTAGTAGAAAGATGTTGCCGTGAAGTTGATGACACTTTAGCTAATCAATGTAATTCTTCAAAAACAATTGAAATAAAAAGAAAGTTTCGCTTTGAATGTACAGCATGTGATAAATGGGAGCCTCATTACATTATCAGTGCTGCTTCGGGTCAAACAGCTGATTCACTTCTTCAGTGTCAAAAAAGTAAAATGCGACGTCGACCAACTCTTGAAGAATCATATTGGTTTCCTGAAGGAGACAAGACAGCTCAAAATGTGAGTTAAAAATCAAAAAAATTGTTATTTTATTCTTGACAGGTGCCAGTGTCTATTAGCGAACAAGAAATGCTTATCATATCACAAAGAGTTAGCGACAAAGCTGATTCTGTGGCTGCAGGCTTGAATATGTTTCTGAGGTTGAATGCACTTCGACAAGATCATCACGATAATCCAATGCTTCATTTGCTTTTTGAGTGGAATAGGGGAGGAGGACGTAGGGAAGACTTGGTTAAAACTCTTAAGGATGTTAACCTTGATAAACTTGCTGATCAGTAAGTGTATAAATTTTTGCATTATTTATTTTCTTCTTTGTCTACATGTATGTAGAGTCCAAAACTCCAATTACGTACAATTGTCTAGACCTCCCAGTGTAAGTCTACATGTACACACAGGACATTAAGCTTAGGCTCAGTACTGACTTACATGTACAAGCAAATGAATTGAACTACTTGCCTATACTGTAGTAAGGGCCTTGCCCAATACATGTACGTTGTTTGCTTCTTAAAATCTAGGAAGTAGATTATTGTTTTTATTAAATTTTTATTTGTGTTACCATGAAGACTGATTCATACCAAAAGTCCCCTATAAAAATATGCATAAACAAATGAGTTTTAAAAATTTCAAACTCTTATGTTTACAAATGATGTTGCATATAGCAGTATGAATTGACTATTGGCCTTAACAGTTCAATGCTTAAAACCTACATAATATAAAGAAACTAAGCTGTAACTTGATTTTTATGTATTTATATATTATACAGGTTAGCAGCACAAGTTCTCGTCAACAAACATTTGACCTGCCTTCAGGCACTGAGTCTTCTCCTGGTATTGCAGGAACTGAACCAATTGAGTTTCAAGTTACAGAAGCTACAAAAGCTGATCAAAGCAAAAAGTTTGCTAAAATGGTCTCAGAAGTGTAAGTTGTGCTTGTTCTTTTGCCATTATTTAATGTACTTCAATAGAATAAAGGAGTATGAAAAAAGTAAAGAACCTGATGATCAAGTTATTGTTAATCAAAGTGAACATGAAACACATTCAGGAGATCAGCATCAAGAGCACAGACAACAAAGAGTTGAACCTCAGCAAAGACAACAGGAAAGACAACAACAGCAAAGACAACAACAAAGACAACAAGAAATTCAAACTCAACAAAGAAATCAACCTCAAGAGCATGTAAGATGTGATTCATTTTATGCATTGTCTTTAATACAATTACATCAATTAACAGATTAGAAGTGACATATCAGATAATGACCTGTTGCGATTGGCTAGATATCTCAAGCCTGAGCATGTCAAAAAATTTGCTGAAGTTTATGATGATGATTCAAGATACCTTCACTCAGAATTAGAAGAATATGAAAACAGTGATGCACAAACAAAAGGATTTCATGTTCTACGTGCAATGCTGAGAAGAAATCCTAATGTTAACCGTGACAATCTAAAGGAGAGTTTATCATTATTGGGATTTAATGAAGCTGCAAAAAAGTAAGATTACATTTTTGTTAAATTACTGTGTTTTACTTAAATTTTAGTCTATCAGACAGTGGTTGCTTATTACTATAAAGAGATATCTGGTTTTTATGCAGAAGTTTAAACTTTGCTCTTTTTCGATAAAATGCTGTTACTTTATAATTTTATTTTATAGTACTATTCTTGTAGAAACTTGAAACATTTTCTATTAAGCCCCCCATATACACCAGGCAACATGTTGCTGGCAACATTTGTGGTTAC